GGGGATGAGTAGGATTAGCATCAGCAATAGGGTCAGCAGATCTCTGGTAGCGATTTTTACCATGCTGGTAATGGTAAGATGGAACGTAGTAGGTAGGGTAAGTAGGTTCAGCCTCTGGCTCTGCAGATCTTTGGTAGCGATAGTGGGTATTCCTGTAATGGTATGACGGGATGTAGTGCTGATGATAGGTAGGTTCAGCCTCTGGCTCTGCAGATCTCTGGTAGCGTTTGTAGTTATTCAAGTAATGGTAGGATGGAAGATAGTGCTGAGGGTAGGTAGGTTCAGCCTCTGGCTCTGCCGACCTTTTGCCAGCATGATGAGTGTACGGGGTGTAGTGTGGATGGTAATAGTGTGGACGGTAATATAATTGTGTGGGCTCCGCATCTCGCTTCTCAACATCAGAAGCGCAAACGGCAGCCGCCAGGAACATGAGAACCTGCATGAAAGAAACATGAGAACATAAGAACATAAGAAAGAAGGAACACTGCAACAGGCCTACGGACCCATGCGGAACAGGTGCATGTCCCCCCCGCCCGGATAAACCCAATGATTCCCCCCCGGATTAGCCCAATGACTCACCCAGTCTGGTCACCTCCACTAACAGAAGGAGCACGGCACCAGATCAAGTAGCACAAGCTAGTCAGGTCCAACTCACACCCACCCACACCCACTCATGTATTTATCTAACCGATTTTTAAAACTAAACAATGTTTTAGCCTGAATAACTGTACTCAGGAGTTTGTTCCACTCATCCACAACTCTATTACCAAACCAGTGCTTTCCTATATCTTTCCTGAATCTGAATTTTTTCCAACTTGAAACCATTGCTGCGAGTCCTGTCTTGGCTGGAAATTTTCAGCACATGCTTTAGCTTTAAACAGAAAATTATTATTACCGTAATTTTTTTAGCACTTTTTATATTTAATGAATCGTTAGAATATATAAAGCTTGTATAAATAAATTTTGTTTATGTACCAATTATTCAAAGGAAGTTCTTTAATGGAAAAGAACAGGACAGGAAAAACATATACACTGTGCAAAGACTCACCAAGAAATTCATGTCTGTGAGATAATCAACTGTGGCCACAGCTGAGCGAGTGTGTCTTGCAGCACTGACGCTGGGCTTCTATAGCAGAGTTGCAGGAAGAGTCCTTAATTTTTCTTCTCCTTGAGATGGTTATTAAACAATGAGGACTTTTGTCTACTTCTCGTTCACCTGTTTATCTTAGTCGAATATTCACACATGGATAAATTTTTTAAAATATTTCGAGCATCAATGCGATGTGAGTAATTACTTATTTTTAGGCGACAAACATGTAAAGATTAATTTATTAGAAAAATAATAAAAAAATTTCAATAGCTTTAATACACTCACAATAGCATGCACAAACACAGTGTATAGAGAGGAACTATAATTTTTTTTTTTTTTTAATTCGCCGGTATTCTCCCGGCCCGGGTCTTTTCGAAGTAGTGGTGACCCGGCCTTGACTCCCTATCTGGGGAGTATCTAGAGACCTAAGTCTCCCATGGAGAAGGCACAAGTACCCCCTCATCTTTGGGACCAAGTGTCCCCAGGCCTAGCCAAAGTCATAAACTTTATTCTCATTTGCTGATATGAGGAAAATTAGAGACCTGACAATGAAACATAGGATTTGAGTATGATGGAAAAAATTGATAAATTTGTGTAAGACCATCATCACAGAGAAAAGTAGGATATAATTAAAAACTAAATAGTTGGCAAAAGCATATCAGAGATTTCTTCAGAAAGTGGAAAAACAATGGAATAAAGTTCGGCAGGTGGTAGTACATCTATCCATTAAAAAATTTAATACTTTAAATTCAAAAGAACCCAAACTAAGAACATAGTTCCATTCCAGAAAGAAGACACACACACACCAAACACACCACACACACACACACACACACACACACACCCACACCACACAACACACACGGTGGAGACAGTGTATGGGTCCA